TAATCCCAGCTACTCGGGAGGCTGAGGCAGGAGAATGGCGTGAATCCAGGAGGTGGAGCTTGCAATGAGCCGAGATCACGCCACTGCATTCCAGCCTGGGCCATAGAGTGAGACTCCATCTCAAAAAAAAAAAATTCAGCTCTCGTTCTCTCAAGCATGCTTTGCTTGTCTTTTGTTCAGCAAGTGTTTTCATAGCCCTGCTCCAGGCCAGAGGGTCTAGCCACCAGCAGGGATACTGGAATGAACCAAATGGCCTGCTTGGGGGAGGTGACCATCTTAAAAAAGCAGCAAGTGCACCTTAGTTCCAAAGAAAAAGGGAAGTGGGGCCGGGCGCGGTGGCTCCCGCCTGTCATCCCAGCACTTTGGGAGGCCAAGGTGGGCGGATCACCTGAGGTCGGGAGTTGGAGACCAGCCTGACCAACGTGGTGAAACCCCCGTCTACTAAGAATACAAAATTAGCCAGCGTGGTGGCGCGCGCCTGTAATCCCAGCTACTCGGGAGGCTGAGGCAGGAGAATCGCTTGAACCTGGGAGGCGGAGGTTGCGATAAGCCAAGATCACGCCACTGCACTCCAGCCTGGGCAACAAGCGTGAAACTCCATCTCAAAAAAATAAAGAAAAGAAAAAGCGAGGCGAGGAGGAGTGTGGCAGGGAAGGCAGGCGCGTGACCTGCGGTTAGAGTGGAGGCATCGAGGGACAGCCAGCTGGGTGTGGCAGGGAACGGAGAGAACCTGTGTTGGCCTCGGCTTCCAAAGCACAGACCCTGAGGGCTAATTGGTAGCAGTTTCTAGAATGTCCTCCGGCTTCTCGGTAGTTGGAGGAGGACTGTGCTTCACTGGCATCTTCAGCAGCTCAACCCCAGGCCTGACGCCTGTGGTGCGGGAGCTCTGCGTTCACCGTGCAGCTGGGCATCAGGGGCTGTGTGCCGCGGGAGCTTCCGTCCCAGGTGTGGTAACAACAGGACGTTTCTAACGAAGTCCACTGTTAAAACAGACACCGTCGTCCTCCCGCTCCGGTCCTCCAATCCCACCAGGTGGGCAGCAAGCTGAGCTTCCCACGTGGGCAAATCCAAGCAGGCACCGTCGCTGGAGTGTGTGTTGTAAAGGCACAAGGTCTTACGGAAACTACAATAGCCAGAGGACAGTCAGAGGCTCACAGGAGTAAAGCTTACAAGTTTAACTTCCTGAAAATATCCACTTTCTCTCCCGTCTACACCACAGAGGCTGAGCTTCTCAGCTACTCAGAAGACAGGACCAGAGACTGTTCTCTCCTCCTGACAAAACTGTGCCCCACAGCTCTGTGCAGGCCACTGAGTCACACGTGCAGGTAGCTGCCCTTGGACTACAGCAGCATCGGGGGTGGCCCGTGCAGGTTCCCAGGCCCGACCTCCCCACACCCCTTGGAGCTCCCAAGGTTTCTATGGGTGTTTGAGAACAACGTCACAAGTTTTAACTTGTACAAGTTTTTTGTTTTTGTTTTTGAGACGGAGTTTCGCTCGTCACCCAGGCTGCAGTGCAAAGGCGCGATCTCGGCTCCCTACAACCTCCACCTCCCGGGTTCAAGTGATTCTCCTGCCTCAGCCTCCCGAGTAGCTGGGATTACAGGTGCCTGCCACCGCACCAGGCTAATTTTGTATTTTCGGTAGAGATGGGGTTTCCCCCTGTTGGTCAGGCTGGTCTCAAACTCCCGACCTCAGGTGATCCGCCCGCCTCGGCCTCCCAAAGTGCTGGGATTTAGAGGCGTGAGCCGCCATGCCCGGCCACTTGTACCAAGTTTTTACACCACATGAAAAGTTGCCCTGTGGTGGCTATTCCCTAAGCCATGCGACCTTTTGGATCTCTGAAAACACCCACATCTGTGGCCGCTCCTCGGACTGGCGGCACTCCCTACCTCTAAGGCATCTGCAGGCTTTGCTGCCAGTCACCATCACCCGCCGTCATCCCGCCCCGTGCGTGCTGCGACACCGTGAAATCAGCACGTCGCATGAGAACGGGCTTCAAGTCACTGGGTCAAACCAGATAATTATCAGGGAGTAAGGCCTCCATGTTAGAAAAGCTGCCAATTCAGACAGCCCTTAAGAACCGCCCCTCCCCAGGCGAGAAGGAAAACACCGAGCTAAGATGCCAGCTGTTTATTACCAGGGAAGCCGCGTGCACACGCATGGACCGCGCTCCTCGGAGCAGACTGGGCCCTCACCTTGTCCTGTTTGTCAGAGGTGGGTCCTGGTGCCAACACAGGAGCACGGTGGCCTCCAGGGAGGCTCTGATAGGCTGGCCTCCGCTGCTTCCCGGCTCAGGGCTCCTCCAAGGAACCTGTGGAGCCCCGTGTGCCCAGAGCCCCTGAGGAGGGGGAGCACTGACCGGCCTCCCCACGGCACGCTGCACTCCAGCGCTGGGCACTGCACCTGCTTGCTGGCTTGCGGCAGTCAGGCACAACACTGACTCCACTGATCGGCACATTGAGTTCTGAAGCAACGCAAACTGCGTGGGTGCTGTGGTGACATTGTTTGCACTGTTCATACAACCAGACAGCTTTTTAAACTAAATTCGTGTCCAAACTAACGCGCACAGGAACAGGCTCCAGCTGCAGCCCCTGGGTCTGTCAGGCCGGGGAGCGGCTCTACCGGAAGAGCCGGTACGTCCTGGGCAGGCGTCCGTCCTTGCTCGACAGGGCAGTCTGGATGTGCTCGTACGTGGGCAGGTCAGTCAGGTCAC